CCATGGAAAGGATTGGAGAACAAATATTTTCTTTCATATAATGATCTTTTTTGTTATTTTTACTATTGTGTACATATTGAGTTCAACTACTCAACTTGTTTAGTGTGGATCAGAATTCTTGAACTGGAACTTCAAATGACATGGCAAATATTAGCAATACAAGGGAACGTGGAAGGATTAGTGTTTGTAGTAAGCAAGTTTGGTCAAAGGGTTACATTTCATTTTGATAAAACTTCACCACAAGATCAAGAAATGATGCAGACTGGATGTGTGATGGTACAACATTGACTAACAATTATTTGTATTGGATGGAACAACAGATTTTTCTAACGAAATGTACGTTATTTGCCTTTTAAAACAAAGTAAATGTGCTCAAATTAAAGTTTGCTGTCTGACATTAGGCTACGCGGACAGCTGCGAAGTCTGTTTATGACCCGTAGAAACTGTTGAAGCTTACAGGCGTATCCTAAATTTAAACACAAGCAGCAACTATTTGAGTACAAAGAGAGGTTTTTGAGAGAAAGAATGAAAACATCTGAATGTAAAATCAATAAGTATTGCTCTCAAAACTTAAAAAAACCTGTTCTTAAGAAAAATAACATGCTCTTGAATAAAGATAGTATATTAATCCCATAGCTTTCCTGATCACAGACCAAGAGAGGAGGTTGGGATGAGCCAATCATTTATTAGGCCTGATCTACTAATTCCCAAGCGTTCAAATCGGCATGCCTCCTCTTAACTCTTTTCCTTGTTATTCGCTTTTGTATGTATACCCAAAGTAAGTCCAAAGGTACCTATGTTGTATAGTGTGGATGGATACCTGCAGGATATGGCTCAGCTCCTCAGTCACCTGAGTAGACAAGCCTACTTGGGTTGATGGTGAATGGCTGAAATGAGACGTCATTTATAACAGCTACAGTAAAAGTTAGGTTGCAAGATAGTCAAGTTGTTGTTTTTTAGTTTATGCAATACAGACTTCACACTTGTGACTTTTCTTTAAGCTTTTTATTTAGTCAAGCCAAAATAAAAATGGAAAAAAGCTGCTGGACTAAAATCCAACAAAAGAAAAGTTGAAATAAGTTTTTACATGTAAGAAACAAAGAAAATTAAAAACTATACAACATGGAAAAATCTCTCTTACACAAACTCCTGGTAAAAATACTGTCAAAGTGCTAGTGCATAAGGAGAATGAGTTGTCAAAACACTTACAAATGTTTTTGTTTTTGTTTTTTTTGGCAATAAAAGGTGACATCCCATGAGTCAACGTCACTTTAACAAAAAGTGAAAAAATAAACTGTTGTGGAAATGTATTTCACATTTAAAAAGTAACAACATTTTAAAGGCGATTTATACAGTGATTTTTGTTCTTGTTTTGAAACTTGAAATATGCTTTTCATTTGACCATGAAAAATAAATACTCTTGGTTGTTAATGGGTAACAAGAGTTAACGCTGTGACATTGCCAACCGTTGAGAGTGGATACCTTCGAGGGAATAGAGATTCATTTAGCTGAGCCGCTTCAAACTTCAAAAACATGCTTCGTTAGTATACAATGCAAAGTGTCATGGTACAAGGCAATATAAACCTTTTTAAAATGAATGTCTACGAGCATACCGGCTAACTTTGTGTGCTCGCTAGAAAGTAATTAGCTCACCAGGCACATTAGCCTTCCAAAATAGCTCAATGCGTTCTTTATGCCACCAGATAGCTAGCTGGTGGCGACCATACTTAGTCAGCATGATAATAGCTAGCTAGAATGTTATAAGTAAGTTAACAAGCCACATTAACTTCCACTGGAGATAAAAAAAATAGTTTCTTAAATCACCAAAAAAGCTAGCTTGTTATCAGACACTCAGGAAACCATTGCTGAATAAGCAAACTTAAAAAACATGCTGTGGCTTTTTATTTCTGGCATGATACTTAAAAACTTGAAGGTGATCAGTTAGGTCACCAGCCATGCCCACTAAAAATGTCTTCATGCCACCAAATACCTAACTGTTATAAACCCAATAAAGTAAGCATGATAGCATGTAATAAGTTGGCTAACCAGCAACACTGACATATCGCAGGAAGGCAGTTTTTTTCTTACTACTGTAACTTTTGCTGCTTTGCTAAAAGTGCTCATGATGGATAGGCCGGGTCTTTGTAACATAACAATGAGTAAGGTCTTTTTACCTGCTCTTTTGTAATGTTAACAGACAGAGAGTAAGGTATTTTACCTGCTCTTTTGTAATGTTAACAGACAAAGAGTAAGGTATTTTACCTGCTCTTTTGTAATGTTAACAGACAGAGAGTAAGGTATTTTACCTGCTCTTTTGTAATGTTAACAGACAAAGAGTAAGGTATTTTACCTGCTCTTTTGTAATGTTAACAGACAAAGAGTAAAGTATTTTACCTGCTCTTTTGTAATGTTAACAGACAAAGAGTAAGGTATTTTACCTGCTCTTTTGTAATGTTAACAGACAAAGAGTAAGGTATTTTACCTGCTCTTTTGTAATGTTAACAGACAAAGAGTAAAGTATTTTACCTGCTCTTTTGTAATGTTAACAGACAAAGAGTAAAGTATTTTACCTGCTCTTTTGTAATGTTAACAGACAAAGAGTAAGGTATTTTACCTGCTCTTTTGTAATGTTAACAGACAAAGAGTAAGGTATTTTACCTGCTCTTTTGTAATGTGTCTCGAGATAACACTTGTTATGAGTTGACGCTATACAAATAAAAATTGATTGATTGATTGATAGCTTAAAAAAGTTCCCTACATCACCAAGATGACTTGTTATCTGTGTAACTGCAGGGCAGAGTCCAAGAAAAATTACAAAGTACGTCTTAAATTATCTAATTATACGCAAACTGTTGGCAACCAAGAAAACTTTTGGGTGACTAAAAAGGTCCCCTAGCCGCCGTAAGCTTGTCGTTAGATAACCGGCCACGTCCCAGCTATCTCAGCACATTTTGACTTCTTACTACCAGCATGATGCCGGCTAGCTGATGGCTTCCCAGCTAACTTTAGTATTTTTTTTTGGGATGCTATTATCAGCCTGTGACCTGCTAGCTAGTTAGTTACTCACCACCCACATAATCCTGCCAAATAACCACCTACTTTAACTTCCTCAACAAACAGCTAGCTAGCAATCTTATACTCTACTCAACTAATTTGTAGCAGCTTAGCTAAATCTTTGAGCTATTTTGGCTTGTTAATGTTGGGCTTATAGTTGCTTATGATGCATAATGAACTAACTTGCCAAATAGCACCGAAGAGTTCTTAATTACACCACAGTTCCAAGAGGATGCAGGTTTGATATAATGTAATTAGCTAGTTCACAAAGCCACCCTTCTCTAACTGCACCTAGAGGAAGTATTAAAGTTGTTAGATTTGATTTTTGATAGCTCACAAAAGTTTTCTATTTCACAACTAGCATGTTATCGGGTACTGCGCTGAACGTCTGCTTAATGTTTGCTTTTCTTCAATACATTTCACCAGGAAAAAAAAAAAAAAAGAGTAAAGGAATCCTGCTCTGGCTCTGGCTCTTTCAAGCTCTAGACCTGGAAATGTTACCCTTCAAAAGAGGAACATCTGCCATTGTTGCTGACACAGTGGATATCAGAAGTCCGGCCCCTTCTCAATTTTTATTGGTTGGTAATGGAGCAGTGCGTTTTGCGTTTAGGAGGCCGAGTGCTGAAAAACGCTGAACCTTCTTGGTTTTTCAGAGAAAATGGGACAAAAACCTGTGTGAGCGGACACAGACCCAAAAGGTTGAATCTGCTGAGAATCTAACAGGCTTTGTTTAGCTGTAGTGTTGATGGGTTGGCAAATCCACAGGTTCAATATACTCAAAGTTTCTAGCAGGACATCATGGTTTATGGGTATATTTTTTGGATACTTGCACATTCTTAAAATAAACAAAATAATATAAAACTTTTGAGGGAGATTGAAAATGTTTGGATCACTTGTAGCTTGCTTAAAGAAATCCACTAAATCTGTACTTTTCGGGAAAAATAACATCAAGTAATTCTTGGAAGAACAGGTACATCAAGTACCTTAATGCAAAAACAACTTAAGCACTTCTTGAAGCGTCAATGCTGCCTAAACTTAAAAACAGTAACTTTTTGTAAAACGGGAAGGGAAATGCTCTCCATTCCCTGAACAAGGCTGAGTTCAGGCATAGTGAAGCTTTTCAAACTTTTCCCTTAAAAAGTGGGGAGGTTGTGGAGTCAGTGTAGAGTCACAGCTGAATTTCTATTAACACATCGGCTCATAAGATCAAGCTTTACGTTGACATTATTATTCATTATACGAGTCTCAGGCACTTTAACAGCTGACTACTTTAGAAGAAAAAAACATCTATATAAAGAATGGACAGCGCACTTTGCCACAAGTAAAGCCAAAAGATTTTAAAGCTCCCCCTACTGACTGGCTGCAGTATATGTCATAAGCTCTGCCAGTTAATACACGTCACATACATTTTTCTCAAACATGGAGTCTGTCACGTAATTAGTTCTTGTAATTAGTTCTTGTCATGCTGATTAATGTCAGTGTTCACTTTTCTGAGTAGTTTCGTTTAAATTCCATACTGTATTTGCTACAAAAAGAGCAGCTGTAAAGTCATGATCGACAGCTCTGTCGGCAAATGTGACTCCTTGAATCATTCAAAAACGGCCCAAAATTCTGCTGTGGACTGTACCCACCTGAGGGATCTTTGACGTTTAAGCGGTAAGTTAAATGTTTGTTTTGGCTAATCAAAGGGACATGGAGTTATTTTGGCAGTTATTCTGATCGCTCCTGCACGTCTTGGCACCAAATGACGTTAATAAGTCAGCGCTTGTTGAGGGGTTATTTTGGCTTCACTTATGTGCAATGGAAAGTAACAGAGGAGCGTTGTTCATATTAATATGCAGTCAGTGTGTGCAACTTTTTCTGGTGTGACCAAGCATTGAGGGTGCTGCCGCACTCATCCATCAATCTTTTTTGTTTAGTCATTCCTTTAATGGAACAAAACGTTCTGACTGAACCAGTGAAGGCTCTCCAGCACACTTTAACTGTCTCGATTGTCTGTCATTCAACAGATCCTCCTCACTGGGAAGGAATTAAAAAATAAAATACATTGTCTGATTACAGGTTGGTGTGTCCAAACCTGTTTTTTCAGAGAATCAGTTCAGTGTGAACACAGGAAGCAGCTTTAAGTCCACATAGCTGCAGCAGTAATGGTGTTGCAAAGCTTCTTCATGGATTGCAGTCTGTGGGTGTAGCTGCATGCCAGCACTAGAACATTAACAGTGGAGTTGCAGTTAAATGGGAAATAAACAGTCTTGTGTTGTTCTGCAGTGTTGTAGACTGGATCCAGGTTGGAGCCCTGGAACGTGAACCAGGAGCAGCCACTCGTTTCTCTCCAGGTGTTCAAACACCTGAAGCCCAGTTTCTAAGTAGGGAACCAGGCTGACTCAGCATGTTACCTTGTGAATAAAAACCGGCCGTTTCTAGCTAGCTTTATGCAATCATCTGGGAGCGATCTCCTGCATCATGGTGGGCATGTGGATGTTCGGACACGAGTCTCTGTGTCTCAGTTTGAACATCAGCTGCTCTTTTTCCTGAGAGAGATTCTGGTTTGTGATGGCCTGCCTCTCCAGCGCCACCTTCAGCTCCAACTGCTCCTTTGATAACTGCCTGTGAAACAACACACAAGATTCAATGCAAGAAAACAAAAACAAAAAAACCCCCAAGAATCAAAAATGTGCTCCACGTTTAAATGTAGAGGGCAGGTGTCGTCAATAGATGGTAAACACTGACGTCACTTTAGTCAGACTGAGTCGCAAAACAGCCTTCTGCCTTTGTGTGTAGTGTTTATTGATTTATAACCAATAATCTGAATGCTTTAAAATGGATCACATTTGAATACATAAAGCACAAAATATAATATAATAGCAGAAATGCATGTGGCTTGGTTGCATCCACTTAGTAGCAGAAAGCAGCTTATTTTTTGGTATCGTTGTTATAAAGTGAATTTAGCAAAGTCTAAACCTGCCAGAAAACCAGTACACAAGAAAAAGACGCTGGCTTGGATAGTTACTCAAGCAATTGATGATGGATTATTATGTCAGTGAAAATGTAAGTAAATAAATAATGAGAATGGGCATATGTGAATGGACCAGCAGGTGGCGCCAGAGTCCTGCATAAAGAGCAGATGTTAGTGAAGAAGAATGGACACATACTGAATGAGAGTCTGACAGTTTTCTATCCGAACATTCAGATCCTCGTTCTGCTGCAGGACGTGAACGATCTGATCCTCCAACGACAAGTTCCTCTCCACCTGAGAGATTTAAGGAAGGAAGAGGAGGAGGAGGAGGAGGAGGAGATGAAGAAGGAGAAGAAGATTTAACTTCTGCAAACTCCTCTGTTCTCAGATCACTAAAGTTGTTTGTCCTGCAGACCCACCAAGGCGTCCATCTGCTGCAGCTTCCTGCTCTGCTCCTGCACACGCTGACTCTTCATCTCTATGACAAACACCAGAGACTCCTGCTCAGACTCCCAGAATGCACCTGGGCTACCATGGGCCTAGAGGGTGAGAAGTGGGAGACAGAACTTAAGTCTGAGTGCTTCCAGACTTATTTTTGTTGCTTAGATTCATTATTTTAACATTATCCATTTGGATCCTGCAGGCTTAGATTATCTATTTAAACATCCATCATCTATAACTTAAATTATACCGAATGTAAGGATGTCAAAACGTTCAGGTTCTGTGTCTGTAGCTTTAAATGCAGTATTTCAAGCGGTGTTTGACCACGCCCCTCTAGAAGGACTTATGTTGCTTGGGCTTTCTTGCACCATGTCCTATTGTTAGGGGTTACTGCCCTTTGTGATGTCATTGCACACTGTATGAATTACCCAAAATTATGGCAACATTTCTGTATGGAAACAATCACAAAATCTTTGAAAAATTTAGACTGTGTATGAGTTTGCTTGTAATGTTTGAAGAGAAATTACCCAGTATGGGTCGACTAGGACTTCTCTTCTTGTTGCCATGGTATCAAAGTTAAAAATTCTGTTACCGTGATAACATTAACCATGTGTTAAAGCCGAACCTCTTATGTAAGAAATTAGATAAGAGTGTTCTAAATTAAACCTTATCAACTGTACTTGAATTGATCAAACTCACTTGAATATTTCTCTGCAGATCCTTCTTAAACGTTGATTCTTCGACTCTCCTCTTCAGCTCGTTATAAACCTCCAGATCTGCCGTCAGCTGTCTTATTTTACTCTAAAATCACAACAGACAATTAAAATGTTAAAGCAGGAAATCTTAAGCAAGTAATAAATGTTAAAGTAAATAATTTACTGAATCAAAGACGAGAACTTCTTTTACCGTGAGGTCGTTCTCAGCAGCCTGAAACTTTTCTGTCAGTTCAGTATTTTCTTGTTTGTGTGTCTTCTGCAGCTCTGCAGACATAAGAGACAAACTCAGATTCATCCCAACAATATCATCACAAGGAAACACAAATCTGGAGTTCAGTTTGCAGAATTATTTTTGCATTCATTTTCAGCACAAACTCTGCTGTGAGTCTGATTTGTAATTTTGGCTTTTTCATTGAATTAGTTCATTATAAAACTGCAGGAAACCAAATTTAGAAGAAAAAGTCGAAAAAGTTGACACAAAAATGTCAAATATTTAGTAATTATAAGTCATTATGTTAGAAAAGAACACTAATGGTTTAACTATAATCATTTTATTGATGTATTCATTAATGGTTTTATCTACTATCTGTCCAACAAATTACCCAAACTGACGTCTTCAAATGTCTCCTTTTGGTCGTTTAATGGTTCTAAACCCAAATCTTCTTCACTTACTGTCATTCATGACAAAGAAAAGCAAAAGATCCTCGTAATTAAACTGAGAAAGAACCAACCATATTTTTTATTAACTTATTAATTAGTTTGGCTAACAAACAGCTCGAGCAGGAGCTACAGCTGCTCATATTTCCAGAACAGAGTTTTCATGTCATGTCAACTTTTTTGTTAATTATCTGAAAAAGTGTAACTGCAATCATTAAAACTGGCTTGATAAGAAAAAAAAGGAACAAGTTACACCTCACAGGTCTCATCCCTATCATATTTTTTTCCCAACACTTTTTCAAAAGGATTTCTTGTTTTTCATAAGTCTGTGTTTTTTTTACCTTCCACTTGTCTCTCGTGTTCTTCAGTAGCACTTTGACTTTTCTGTTCATGCAGCACGTTCAGATCAGCCGTCGTCTCTGTTTTCACCTGAAAATCACATCCCATCAGTTTAACCAGAGGTAACACTGTCGATCTAAACTGACACCCCACCACATCCCATAGTTATACTCAAACCCCATGGTCCAATACATCATCCCACCCCTAATATTCACCTACTTTTCCTGTTTATATCATCTCATTAGTGCAATACATTCCACTATGTGTGCAGTATTATGTTTTCTACCTGTCCAGTATATACTGTTTAACTGTGCTAAACATATTTTTCAACCCATCTAGTATGTCTAATTTTTGACCTTCAATATCTATTTTTCTTGCAAAAGTTAAAAGTTTTTACTTTGAATCAAACGACAGAACATGGATAAAAATGTGAACTAGAGGGGTGACTTGCAAACCCATTGCTGCTGGAGATAATTAGCATAAATATGTATCAGGGGAGAGAATATGTGGAAGTGCAGAGAGTGCTTTAGTGTTTCTGAGAGCTCCACAATGTCACAGCCAGGTTAAAAATGGCCGCTGCAGAGAAAATAACCTCCTGGCTGCAGATCCAGGTGTAGTCTGAGCCAAGTGAAAAGTCCATGAATAACTTTTCTGGCTGGGTTTCTGATAGTGAAGCAGATTTTTCCTCCCTCTGCTGATTAAATTACAGTCATATGTAACAGCATGATGTCTGACTTTAATCTTCAACTCAGGTGTTGGATGTGTGGAATAAAAAAAAAGAAAGAGCAAAGGATCTTCACGAGTTTGATGAACTATTTAATTTAAGTTCTCCATCAGATTTATTCTCTATTTATTTCTGTTCGACGCTGGATCAGTGAGGTTTAATCAGGTTTCCTCACCTTATCCAGGACGCTCAGGACGAGGGCGCACACCTCGACATCGGCGTGGTCCTTCAGTAGCTCCGCCCTCTCTGGGTTCCCATTCGCTGAGAGTACTTCCTTTAAAATCCTCAGCTGCCACTCAAAGCGCTCCAGCTGCTTCTCCAGACAGACGTCCTGCTCACCAGACATACGTTTACCTGCAGACGGACACAAACGCAGAGTAGAAAAACACACCTTATATTTAATATTTCTGATAAAACAAGGAGTGGGGAAAACAGACAACATGTTTAAAGTGTGGGTAAAACTTTAGACGGTCGTTTTATTTTGCTCTTGAATTGCTGAATTGTTACAGCGAAGAAATAGATGAAGACGACAATTAGGTTGTAAAAAAATGATTTTGTTCCCTTAAAACAGTCCATCAAATAGGGTCAAATTCAAACTTAAACATTTCATTTTAGAGCTTTCAGTTTGTGTGAATTTTGGCGCCCCGCTGTGGACAAAGTGAAACATGTTGACACATCTAGAGCACTCGTAGATGTGTAAAAGTTTGTAAAGCATTATTTTTACTGGGACAAAAGTAGGATGCATGACTTGATCCTGGATAGCAAAAAAGGGGGATTTAGAAATCTGGATAATTTGAACCTAGATCAAACATTCTTGAACAATCGAGCAGTGGACATCAATCAGTTTTGAACATCTGTATCTTTAACATTCACATTTCATGCGACTTAGGTTCTGCCTTTATAGACTTTATGGATTCATCTAGATGAATCTCTGCATTCATGGACTGAGAAAAAATTCTTAATCTGAACATAACAAGCTGTTATAAAATATTCTGAAGTAATAAGTACAGTTATTCTCTGTCATAAGTGGTGGAGTAAATAAAGTGTATTTTAAAGAAAAGGACCAAAATGAAGACTTAAGGCCATAAATTTGAACTCAAGTAGAGAACTCAGATAAACTACCCTCACAAATAGAAAGTACTTAGAGCTGTGTCGATAAATCAATTAGTGTCAAGTCAATTGATAGATTGATAATCTGTTTGGGGTTGGAAGGAATTTCAAAGGAAAACAAATCATTGATTTCAGTTTCTTCATCTGAATATTTTCCTGATTTTACATGAATAAATATTAAGCAAATTATCAAAATAATCTGTTGTGGCAGCCTTCAGTTCTCATTCTCTTTCCTTCTTTCTTTGGGAGTTAAAGTGTTAAAAATTAGAGGTAAACATCCAGGAAATGTTTCTGATAGTGATTTGAATTCAATCTGTCGATTATGTCATCGACATGTACACACACGCTTACACACAGGCACACACACTGTTTCATAAGGTCTTCAGTGTGGACTTAAACTCGTCATCTGTCGTAAACATAATAAGGGTTATTTTCAAACTGTTAAAATTGAACATTACCTTCTCTGAGCACATTATGAAGAGTCTTTATCAACATATTATGACAGCATGGATATTTAAAATGTGCATGTTATCATGTACAGCTCATAAACATGACTAACTTCTTCAGACAATAGACCCTTTTATTCCTGTTGGTATTTTCTGGCTGCTGTTGCTTCTGTATTTTCTAATAATCAGAGTTCAGCTGGATGTAAAAACAGGTTTCAGCCTGTCTGCATGTTGAATTGATTTTTAGACAAAGAGCAGATTTAGTTTGTTTTTATTCTGATGTTTGACAGTTAAACACAAACATCGGAGCTATGTGATCATTACGAGTCAAACAAAGGAGGAACAAAATCAGAAAATGGAAAATCACCAGCTGAAATACATCACAAGTTTGTGTTTTTCCACTTCCAATCAAAGTGTTGTCATACTGCTGCATTGATTCAATCATGAGAGAGAAAGTGGGATCTTAGTGGGGTTATCTAAGTCATGTGTTTTGCCAAAAAGAAATGGGGACAATATTGGATTTCTGAAACGAATTGTTAAAGATTTACATTTTAAACATTTCAGAACCCCGTGTCTGATTTGTGCATCTCATGTGAAATAAACATTTAAAATTAAAAGATACCAGCAGTGGGATTTTGTTCTGCCACAGTGGGGATTTTTTTTTTTGCCATACTGCCACCATCTGTTTGAATGCACACACTTGGGTGTAGTGTACACGAGAAAACACAGATTGCTCAACCTATCAGCCACAGTAGTGGGTACTTAATATTAGCTTCACAGTGTGATTTGAGACTGAAACAGCTCAGCTTTAGTCCCATGGTCTTCTGCTTGTTTCGCTTTCACACCCAGAGCAGAGCCAGCAGTCTCACACACTCACTGATCAAAAGGCAACGCCGCCTCCTCGTGTCAGAGCGGGTGTCAGTGTTTACAATTTAAGTGATTTTTGGCACAGCAATCAGGTACACTTGAATTCTCCCCTCTCCAAGTTTCATCAAATAATGGAAACACGAAGTGGATGTGCTCGCTTGCAGCGTGTCTGGAGCAGTTACATGGGCGATGTGCAGGAATGGATCTGCATCTCCATTACAACAGGTCTACCTGCTGATCATGCGTTTCAAATGACGTCTGGCTTATCTTCCAGGATGATTAACAGAAGCAGGCTGGGACTTGTGGACCAAATACAGTAACTCGCTTCATGGTAATCAATCTCACCGCCAAGTAGCTCTGTAATGGCTCAGTTAATTTATTGATACAGTAAGGGTATTTGGGATCAGCGTATCAGTAATTGGACTACACAAGTGAGGGCGTCGATATATTGCCATGTTGATATTTTGTCCCACTCTTAATTCTAGCTGTTTATCAAAAAACAATGCCAACATTTATTTGGATTATTGTATCAAACCAATTCAACCTTCTTTATTTCTTGAACAAACCACTGATACCTTCTTTATTTCTTGAACAAACCACTGATACCTTCTTTATTTCTTGAACAAACCACTGAAACCTTTGTGCCATGACTTTGAGCTAACCATCATAACCATGACTTAATCTGGATTTTTCTGAAGTTACAATTTATTTTATTGAACAACATTAACAACATATCCTTAACTTGTTTCATGCATTACTTTTAAGCTACCTTTTTAGATTTCTCTCCTTGCTTGTTTTTCATGCAGTCTTACATAATTGCATAACTTGGATGCAACCATCAAATCCGAAATGTCTTTTTTTCCCTCGATGAGTCGCCCCTTTGCACAGTCTTTCCATGTTCCCCCTGTTATCTACAGAACTGATCCACAGTAGTACCAGTTCCTCTGGACTCACTGCTCTGCTGAGTATTTGGGTCAGCATGACGGTGTATGTGGGATTGATTTAATAAAACTGCAGCGTGAGTGCAACAGTGGCTCATTGATCTGTTTTTAATAGTTCTTTGGACAACAATGGAGCTCTATGCAAGACATAACAGGCTGTCACACACGCACAATGGTGTTTAGTTTTCCTGTACTGCACTTTTTGTAGAAAAAAAAACGCCTTACACCTTGTTTTTTTTTAATCAATTTTAAACACATAGTGTAGAGAACCAATAGACCTTAAGGAAGTTCCTGATAATGAGGACTATCTTCAGTGTTTGTGCTCAAACATCTGCGCTGTAAATCCAGCTCATGGTGAGTGATTCACAGAAAGATGACGACAGCGAGTTCATACCATCCTGTTTAAAATGAGAGGTTTCTGTTCTGCTCTTTAAACTGTACAATCTGCTCATAAACAAGAGGAAACCAGGGGACAGTAAGTGTTAAGTGTCTGCCGGGCAGCGCTGAGTCACTCCTTCAAAGCAGATGGTTCTTTCACTCACATAAACTCCAAACCTCAGAAGATAAACACACCTGAATTACCTGTGATTTATCTCCAACACACGCCTGTTTACTGAAATCTCCAAGGAATTAAAGGATTAGATTTTATAACTGTTTAAGAATTGTTTTTTGGGAAACTTCTGCAGCACATAAAGATCTCAAATAACGTCTTCAACCAACAATCATCGTAACCTTTTTTCATTGAATAACTTTTCATTGCAGCAGCTTTTCACCTTTTCACTTGTGATGCTTGAAAGTTTCCAACATGTTTCCTCTAAGAGTTCATTTATCCTTCTGTTCTGTATGAGCAACATGCACTGACAAATCAGCAACAGACCCTTATGATGTGAAACAATGCAGCACTTTAAATTAAAAATAAATGTTTAACTCTTTTTTTTTATCAAGTTAACAGTTTATTTTATAAATGTTCAACTAATCTGAAGTTCAATGAGCTCAAAGTGTCATCTCGTTTTCTATCCGGTTCTCATGACGTTCAGAAAAACAAGATGTAGAAAGAGGTAGTGAGAGAACAAAGGGACGCAGAGAGCAGTCAGAGAAAACCCACAGTGTGATATTTGATATAAATATATGTTTGAAACCACTCACCTCCTTCATCTTGGCGGCTGTTTTCTTTCTGGGTCTTCCCTCCCTTCTTGCCTTTGCTTTTCTTCTGAACGACAAAAACAGAAGAAGCGTTTTATTGACATTTTCACAAACACAGAACAGACAGTGTTTGTTGAAATTTTCGATACATAGATAATTCTCAATACCATGTTTTTAAAATGAAACGATCTATGATATTTTGAAGTGGCAGCACTTTCAAAAAAACTACAGACCTTAAGTCATATTTACAACCAAATAACCAACCAGCCACGACAGAGAGGGGGAGAATGTTGTCGGAACCAAACCATTGTTTGAGTTTTCAAATGGAAGTCTAAAAATCTTGTGTCTTGACAATCCTACTTGATAGGTCAGTAAATATTTGCACATTAAGGACTGAAGGTGGGACAAAAAAGACATTTAAAGGAGAATTTTGGGCTGCAATTTCTAGAATTGAAAGAAAAAAAATCAATCACTTCAACTTTTTCTATATCTTTTAAAGCCTGACCGATAAATCGACCAGCCGATAATATTGGCCAATGTTAGCATATCATGTGACTATTGGCATCAGCTAATGTTATCTCCAATGTGCTGATAGAACTCGGTTTATTCAATTTTAGTGTATCATTTATTTTGAATATCTATATCCATCCATCCATCTATTTATCCATGTAAAAATGTTCTCCCTAAAATCAGTATCGGCCCCAAAAATCCCATATGCCTTAAATAGATCATTCATACCATTGATGTGAGTATTATTATCAAATAATAACATCAGCTTTAAGGTTAAATAATATTAGTTTTATTAGCTCACATGTTCCAGCCTGTAGACGACTAATCTCTGAAATCAACAGAGATTATTTGAAGTGTGTGTGGGACATGAAACAGGGGTCTTGGCAGCAGAGTCCTGGTTCAGGTCTGGTTGTTAAACTGGAGCAGGGAGGTCGTTATGAAAGCTGCTGATGGAGTCTGAGTCTCTCATTAGTCTCCACATGACTGACGCTGTAACTTTCCCTCTTTTCTTTTCTCTCTTACATAACTTCAGCTGCAGCTCAAACACCGACTCAGGACAGCAGGACGACTGTGTTCTCACACTGATGAATAAAAAATGACCAACAGATAGTCCTCATTCTTCTCATGGCCATACGCATGGGAACGTATTTTCTCTGAGGGGTGCCGCCCTGTACTACGTGCTCACGCTTACACACCTTCAAGTTACTATCAATTCCAATGACAACCTAAGTGACCGGCGTAATCAAATGAAATAACTTCTTTAATAACTTCAAACAATCCATGAGAGGCCACAAACTCACATTAATTGAACCTGTGTTTATCAAACGAGATCAGCATCTCCCATGTTTCTGCAGTGGCACAAACACTGCATAAAAAAACAGAACTTTCTGAATGTCTGTGAAGCCATACCATTCAAGTCCACTCACTTCTCATTAACACAACTCATGAATCTGAACGTATTGTTTATAGTTCCTACAATTTTTAAGGATAAAAAACCCTAGAGCTTTGGCTGAAGTGTAAATTTCAACAAAGCCTTTAGAACGTATCAACATGGACACGCCCACTCACTCCATCAGACCGTCACCATCAAATTATACAACAATCATTTATAGCCCACAGTAAGAACAAAACATTTATAGCAAAAATATCATAATTTCGGACTAACTTAATTTAGTTGAAGATGCCTAAAGTTACTTTTTGTTTCGACTGTGTGCTGCACAAGAATTGAATTCAAAGACACGATGCCCAGCATGTCCAAACTATCCTGACAGGATAATCAGGTGGCTGATGAAGCAGGTGTAAAGTTGACGGACACTTACATACAGCAACTTGACCAAGTGTCACATGCTCCTCCTGTTCATTCACTATTTTTGTTTTGTTTTGGTGCTTTCAGAATAGTAAAAGAAAACACCTCATGTTCTCCTTTATCTCCCCAAGACACGCTGACCTGCAGTCCATCCTTTGACATCATCATCATCATCACGTCAACAGCATCGCGTCAGGTCAAAGTGCAGAGAATTGAATCACACACAGTAAACCTCATTTTCAGTAGAGTTTCTGCCACACACTGATTATTTAAAAAAAAACAAATGTTTACACAGTAGTTAAATTAAAATAGTGAACTTTTTTAAACATTGCGTTTGTCCTTCGGTCGTACCTCAGCATCCGCCTTTCCCTTTTCAGGGGTTATCATATCATCAAATGTTTTGAATTGTAAAATAGTAGAATTTAAAAGATGAGACTTAAAATGTGATGAATTAAAATTCAGTGATTAATTGTACTTTTAAAAATAAATCATTTGACACTAGTTTTAAAGATAGATAAACCACACACATTTTATTGTCTAATCACAGTTAAGCTCGGGAGCCTACAGAAGATTGGGAATTCCAAATTTTGAAGATGTCCAGACAACATGGACTAACCTTTTTCAACATTGTCATACTTGTAATAATGTTCTGTTTGTGTTTGATTTGATAGTTTACGTGTACTTGTGTTTTCAAAGAGATTAATATGGTTTAGATGAATATCAGGCGCAGCCTTCGTCTAAATCTGGTCAGCAGAAAACACACACGCAAGCTTGGGCATGAATCCAAACATCCACAAACACACGAGCTAAAAGAACACACTGCAGGCCTCATTCTGAACACACACACACAGACACACACACACACACACACACACACACACACACACACACACAGACCAAAGCTTAGATAATACACACACTGAAATGCTCCCTGTATTGCCTCACAGACTCACATTGCTCAAGCACTGTGAGGTCAAACAATCACACCCAAAAACCCTTCAACACACACCCTGTGAATAAACACTTCTAAACTCTGCTCAGCCAACTGGACAGGGTAGAAAAGGTGTAACACGTTGTCAGACACGGGCCCTTTCCGAAAAGTCACAGTTCAGTATGGAGTGCAGATACTAACTTGTGGGTTTTTGTGCAGTATGGTTTGGATGCATCCTTTAAGGAAATTAGTTGTATGTATTTTATGGAAGCGATTAGTGATCAGAATTCAAATGATAAAGCTAATTTGAAAATTCAAATGCATGAACAGAAATGCTTTTTTAATTTTCGTTTTCAAACTTGCCGTGCTACAAAGTGATCATAATTCAAACCAACTCGAAAACGAAATGGCAAAGTGGACGACGCAGGAAAGTGACATCAGACTCCAGCTCCCAGACAGGCTAACGTAATAGTTATAGAATGAGGCGAGCGGGCAGAACACGCAGTACTGATCACTAATCGCTTCCATAGTATTTTAACACCCACAATGCTGTGAAAACTTCACTTCACAAGGGCCTCCAAATCAAAACAAAGAAGGATGGGGGGGGGGGGGACAAAAAGGATGGATGAGGCCAGTTCGGGTACCGCGCCATTCAAATGTTAAATTGTGTTCATGCAATGTGAACTATTGTATTATTTACTGAGCCATCGTGCATATCACATCTGAGTTGGAGTGTCAATAACATGAGGCGGGTTAATGAAGCCACTTCCACACTGAATGAATCAGACAAAGTAGGAACAAATATCAGCCTACTGTGTGCTCCTACTGAACAGACAGTCCTAACAGTATACAGCACGGATAGAAGGGACTGTCTGCTGTCAGATTGTGTAGGCACTTTGATGAGTTGATTTAATATACTCTAGTGGAAACTGAAGGCCACCCCATTATATATTCCCTACAACAAAGAAACTATCAATGGTGTAGTCTAGAGTGTGCACCACATTGGTTTGTGTTTAAAAACAGAAAAGAAAACACATTTATGTCCTCTCCCGTTCAGTCACATCCTGCTCGTCAACCAAAAGTGTGCGTTACCCTGACCCAAACTGGACTCAAACTTGTTTCTAACTCGGAGCTGAAACAATAAATACATCTGGTTGAAACACCTCACTTGGTTCAGAGGGAGCAGGAGGAGGAGGAGGAGGAGGAGGAGGAGGAGGAGGGGAGGAGGAGGAGGAGGATGTGTTCCTGCAGGCGTAGTGGGGCCCTCACTTTTCAAAAGGTCATAAATCACAGTCGAGGCTCCTCTCTGTTTGTACAGCACTTCACTGTCCAGAAAAACCTGACTGTGCCGTCTCATTTCACACAGAGAGAGAAAACTCGCAGAGAAAGGTTAGTATCTGCTGAAGAGATAAATCATCTCATTGGCTGGTTTAAACCTCAGGGGGAGGAGCCAAAGAGTTTCCTGCTTAAACCCCCTCTTAGGATCTTCAGAGAGGAGGAAGCTAAACGTTTTCAACACACTCAAATACACATTGACTAGGGTGGAAACTAACCGAGATGTTTGTGATCAATACATCTGCAGAACCAATTGTTTATTTTGAAATCTTATTCAATTTGTGAAAAATGTTTAACACAATTTTCCAAAGTCAAAAATAACAAACAACCCAAAAACAAATGTCTGATTTAATTACTTGAAAAATCAAAGACAATCCGTTGATTATCAAAAAACGGGTCAGTTACGTCTTCAATTCATGAATGGATGCAGCTTTAATAATTTCTGTCCCATTCAAGTTAATATGTTAATATGAAAATTTGAAAAGGCAACCCAATAAAAACCATTGTTACTGTATGTTTGGGGTCTAAATGACTGAGAAGTTCAGATTGTTCTTCTCGAGTCTGACAACATCACAGAAAGAATCCCTACAGAGATGGAGCTTTTTGTTAGAGAGGAAGAAGATATTTTAAACAGAATCAGCTGTTACATCACTCTCTACAAACACACCTGACCTTACTGAACACAGGAGTTGTTGGTCTGCCTGCTGCCTGAATCGGGTTAGTTTGTTTGAGAAATATCGTGATGTAACTGGACTAACCACTATAAACGTGAAAGTCACATCATTTTACAATCAACTACCAAACCGCCCTCAGCAGAGGTAGACCACATGCTAACATAACATCACTGAGTGATGATGCAGGATCATTACTCGGGCGTGTAGTGCTGCGTGGTGATTTGATCTCTCATGCGCTGCAACAAGTTTGATGTCTTCGACACTTTGGGTGAAACTTTTTTCCCGTGGGTTTTGCAAACGGGAGTGGACTT